GAGGCTCTGAGCTAGCTGTCAGCACAGAGCCGAATGTGGGGCTTGAACCCATGAACCATGAGATCATGACCTGAGCCGAAGTTGGACACTTAACCGACTGAGCCACTCAGGTGCCCCTGATTCCAGTTGAACTTAACACAAGATTCAAACTTGTTAACATGGTTCTGAATTATTTTTATCATGTTTTTTTCTTCTAGCTGTCCCCCAGCCTGGCTCTTTTGACCTTTTTTTCCCTTCTCATCACTCAGCTCTAACACATTGTCCTACCTGAAGTCTACCATTAGCTCTTCCAAAAATGCCATTTGTGACCTGATGCCTTTTGTACACGTTCTCTCTAAAATTCCTTTTCAGATTTAAAACTATTTTATTGATTACAATATTTAATCTTAGTTCTTAGTTTAAATGTCATCCTAAGAGATGTAAGCCATTTTAAGTCCATACCATTTTGCTTTCTTTAGAGGATAATTTCTAATAATTGTATTTCTTTTTATGTGAGTACTTAATTTAATTGTTTACCCAAAGCAATCATCTTGAGAATAATACCAATTACATCTTGCTCAACATTAAGACTACAGAGTCTTAAACAGTTTTCCATGCATAGTAGGCCATTGACAAATATTTCTTGGCTGCTTTGGTAAAATAAACCCTGTCGTTTTTGAAATTCTAATAATCTATTCTCTTGTTTTATTGAAATCAAGGATGATGTTGAAGAAAATAACTTTCCTATAGAATGATTCAGCATAATTCTTAAAGCATAAAGATTAATTTAAAAGACCACATAACACGTAGTATAGTTTTTGTTTCTTTTACCCTTGACATAGCTTTTTATAATCCCATATGCTTAGAGCTGTTAATTATTCCTTATCTTACTTTATTGTGTTTGTTGTGTCTATTTATACTGAATGGATTCTCAGAGGAAAGCACAAATAGGCCAGATGTGATAACAAAATACATACACCATATGAGAAACTGCTGAGTATTTTGCAATATAGACTGCACTGGAAGTTATTCATATGCCAATGTCACATATTCATCAAACATATCTTTTAATACAAGCATACTGACTTTATATTTTTACATTTACTTAGCCCATTTGTGTATTGTGTATTGATTTTACAACTTCTTTTACAAGTCCACTGAATTTAGTTTAGAGGACTCCAGTGACGAAAGATTGGGGGAAAATGTTATGTGGGAGTAAAACATTGATGTCCTTTCCCTCTAATTATCATGCCCAACACTTGGATTGTAAACCTATATCGTTTCTGTTTTTAAAAATTCTAGTATTTATTATAATTTACTTGGAATTTTTACATGTTTCTCCAGTGATATTTATACTTTGATAAGAAAGTGGCAAGCCAACATGGATGGAGCTAGAGTGTATTCTAAGTGAAATAAGTCAATCAGAGATAAATACCATAAGGTTTTACTCATATGCATAGTTTAAGAAACAAAACAGGTGAACATAGGGGAAGGGAAAAAGAGAGAGAGAGGAGACAAATAATAAGGGACTCAACTATAGAGAACAAACTGAGGGTTACTGGAGGGGTGGTGGATGGGCTAAATGGGTGATGGCTACTAAGGAGGGCACTTGTGATGAACACATAGTGATGAATCATTAAATTCTACTACTGAAACCAATATTACACGAGAAGAGGAAAGTGGCACCCCCATACTAGGAAAGGACTTGAAGAACACTCAAGGAGAAGACTGGTATATCAGATTTGGGGGGAAATTGTACTTCTTCTATGGTTCTATATCAAATCTCCTAAGTTGAGTAAGATTTATTTTTTAGCTTGTACATTCATATGTTTATTCAATATTTTGTTTTTTCAAGAGACAGATATCAATTGTTTGGCATCCTGTTGACACTGTAAAGAAAGATTATAGAGACAAATAAGATAGTTTTGAGATAAATTCAAATGTGGGTGTAGAAAAATAGAGGTTAAAGAGCTAATTTGCAGATAACTAGCCCACTTTTGAATATATGATACAAGTCTAAGTGTAGAAGATGGGGAGGCAGAATTATCTAAGATAGGAAACAAATAGGAAAAAGTAATTAATAGAAAGTGTAGAAAAACATGTAAATAGTTTTATTAGAAGGCAATCACATGACATTTTGAGGTAGATAGAAAAACAAAATCTGAAAAAAGTCCCTAAAGATAAGATCACATTAATATCATACACATTTTTATATCTTGATATATACATATATACATATTTAAAGGACTTATTTATATAGTTCTATTGCTCTCAAAACTCTGCTATTTGATATCACAGTCTTGAGTTTATGGGTTTTGCAAAATGCAGTCTCCATTTGGGAATATGGCAATGGTCACAAATAATTTTGAAGTGAAACTAAACTATGGATTAAGTAAACCAAAAAAAAAGCCATCATTACTCAAAAAATAATACAACCTACATGAGTTACAATTTTACCAATATCAACTTTATTTTTAAAATAACGTAACCATTATGGTAGATTAACTTTTGCTTTGTTTTACACTGTTCCTTTAGTAGTCCAAATAAACCATATGTGAAAAAATCAGTATTGTTAATAATCAAGAAAAGTCTAAAAATAAAAAAATATCATGAAAGAGCTACTGCTGGTACAGTTATGGAAAAATTAGCATATAGAAAAGAATGTATACATTTATTATAGCTCTGAAACTTCAAAACATTTATATTATTCCTCTTGAGTAGAGCATAAGTAGATGACGTGGCTTTTTAAAATAAAGTGTGATTCATGGCCACGTTATAAAATAAATTAGCCAATTAGATCTCTCATTATGATATTAGACTTTTTTACAAATTTAAAAAACAACTACAAAAACTATTCTTTTGATTCTGTGTAGAGTATTCATAAAGTTATGAGGTAGTTTTGGCTTAAAATATACATTTCCATACCCCATATGGATTGCAGATTCACTACACAAAGTATTGCAGATTCACTACACAAAGAAGTTACTCCTTTGAAGACTAATACTGAATAATAGATGAGCCAATGCACTGAGAACAACTAGGGTAGATTTGAGTCTTTGCTTTTACAACCTGTGTGTACTAGGGAGGTCCTTAGCTTCTTTGAACATAATTCATCACTATAAGATGGTTCTGATCCATGTTTGTCTGACTCACAAGCTGTTGTGAGAAGTAAATCAGATAACGGGTATGAAAGCAATTTATAAACATGAAACTATCAGACTGCATGTATTTGTGTTTGTTCAGTAAACCAAGTTTTCCAAACGTATGTTTTGTAACAGTGGGATTTAAGGGTAATGCTTTTAAAGTTCTTTTTAAGATAAGAATATCAGAAACTGCATGTTCCATTGTTTAATATTTTAGTTGGGGACAGGGCTAATAGAAATCAGGTTCTTCCAGACTGGGTGTTTTAGAAACCTTAACTCTTCATAATTTATACATAAAAATCAGATAGTGATGTCCTTTGCCTATTTGAAACTTCCAATAACATTAATATTACTTCTCTTGAAGTGTGTCGTGTATCCCATTTTGCTTTAGAGCTATTTTGAGCCGGAGATTGGCCGTGAGGAAAGCCACCACACACCTCTGTCTTGAGTAAACATCAAGCATCAAGGAGTGAAAAATATATACTGGGGCTTTTCTCTAAAGACGAAGATTTCAGTCTCATAAGGCTGGATTTTAAAAAATCAAAACTTTACTTCTTAGTTTGTTTTGGATTTGTGTGGTGTACAGCCCCAAAGATCTTGCTAGAGAATGAATGTACTTTTTTTCATGCTGGATACTTTGACTCAAATCTTCTAAGGCAGCCATAATAACATGATATGTTTTTCAATACCTTTGATCCTATTTGATAAAAAACAAATCTCAAATTTCCCATATTTCTCATAAAAATACAGCTGACTCTGCACCAGAGATTCAGAAATCCTAAAGATCAGATAGTGAGGGAAAAGCTCCCTGCACTCACTGGTAAGTCAGTACTCTGAAGAAAAGGATGTGTATGAAAGTAGCAGAGCTCACCCAGGTGATTTCAGTTGAATAACTTAGACCTGTAATAAAATAAGTAAGAATTAAAACTTTAACCGAGACTACATTTTTAAAACAAGTATTTTTCTTCTTCAACAACTTATTTTATGGACTCTTTCTACCTATATTCCCAACTAACTGTATGTATATAGTATGTATAACTGGTCGAGAGTTTAGGTCCTTGTATTGACACACATGGTCCATAACAGACTCTACCACTCACTAGGTGACATATCTTAAACCAAGTTTCAATTTCTGCATTATCAAATGGTGGAAAATAATAGTGACTACCTCATAGAGTTAATAAAATTAAGTTTGTGTTTGTAAAGTGCTTAATACAGTTTAATGTGTGGTACACCTGGATGGCTCATTTGGTTAAGTGTCTGACTTTTAACTTTGGCTCAGGTCATGATCTCATGGTTCATATGGCTTAAGGCCCACATTGGGCTCTGTGCTGACAATGTGGAGCCTGCTTGGGGTTCTCTCTCTCTCTCTCTCTCTCTCTCTCTCTCCTCTCTCTCTGACCCTCTCCTGCTCATGCTTTCCCTAGGTAAATAAATAAATAAACATAAAAATATTTAAAAATACAGCTTAATGTGTGGCATGGCATGAAGTACATCACTGATAAATGTTATTAATAATAATTATACATAGTAATAATGAAAAAGACATGCATTATGGGCTCAATTTTGGAAGGCTCTAGCAATGACATTTTACTTAATCTGAGGTTGATGAGGATTATTATGAATCTTTCATGAATTTCTGACTGGCTAGGGTTTTGGATCCAAAGGATTTTTACTATTTCAGGTCTAATTGGAGAGACTCTGAATGTTGCATAATAGTGTCCTATTGGACAAGGAATCTCCCTAGTTGTCATGTGATCCACATGTTCTCTAAAATGCGAAGAAAATTAGCTGATAATTTCAGCATTTAAAAAGCCAAAGGACTGAGGCCGAGCGGCGGGAGCCCAGGCCCGCGGAGTGCCAGGCGCCCACGGAATTTCGAGTGTCCAGAGTGCGCAGAGTCCCCGAGCCGCGAAGGGTGCAAGCAGCAGCCACGATGTGCGGAATCTTCGCCTACATGAACTACAGAGTGCCCCGGACCAGGAAGGAGATTTTCGAAACCCTCATCAAGGGCCTGCAGAGGCTTGAGTACAGAGGCTATGACTCGGCAGGTGTGGCGATCGATGGAAATAATAACGAAGTCAAAGAAAGACATATCCAGCTGGTCAAGAAAAGAGGAAACGTCAAGGCTCTCGATGAAGAACTTTACAAACAAGACAGCATGGACTTGAAGGTGGAGTTTGAGACCCACTTTGGCATTGCCCACACACGCTGGGCCACTCATGGGGTCCCCAGTGCTGTCAACAGCCATCCACAGCACTCGGACAAAGGCAACGAATTCGTTGTCATCCATAATGGGATCATCACAAATTACAAAGACCTGAGGAAATTTCTGGAAAGCAAAGGCTATGAGTTTGAGTCAGAAACTGACACTGAGACCATCGCCAAGCTGATTAAATATGTGTTTGACAACAGAGAGACTGAGGACATTACGTTTTCAACATTGGTCGAAAGAGTCATTCAGCAGCTGGAAGGTGCATTTGCATTGGTTTTCAAGAGCATCCACTACCCGGGAGAAGCTGTTGCCACCAGGAGAGGCAGCCCCCTGCTCATTGGAGTGCGGAGCAAATACAAGCTCTCCACAGAACAGATCCCCATCCTGTACAGGACACGCAATTTCGAGAATGTGAAGAATATCTGCAAAACAAGAATGAAGAGGCTGGACAGCTCGACCTGCCTTCATGCTGTGGGCGATAAAGCAGTGGAATTCTTCTTTGCTTCCGATGCAAGCGCTATCATAGAACACACCAACCGAGTCATCTTCCTCGAGGATGACGACATCGCCGCAGTGGCTGATGGGAAACTCTCCATTCACCGGGTCAAGCGTTCAGCTAGTGATGACCCATCTCGAGCCATCCAGACCTTGCAGATGGAACTGCAGCAAATCATGAAAGGCAACTTCAGTGCGTTTATGCAGAAGGAGATCTTTGAACAGCCCGAATCAGTTTTCAATACCATGAGAGGTCGGGTGAATTTTGAGACCAACACAGTGCTCCTGGGCGGCTTGAAGGACCACTTGAAGGAGATTCGACGGTGCCGACGGCTCATCGTGATTGGTTGCGGAACCAGCTACCACGCGGCTGTGGCCACACGACAAGTTTTGGAGGAACTGACTGAACTCCCTGTGATGGTTGAACTCGCCAGCGATTTTCTGGACAGGAACACACCTGTATTCAGGGATGATGTCTGCTTTTTCATAAGTCAGTCAGGTGAGACTGCAGACACCCTCCTGGCATTGCGCTACTGTAAGGACAGCGGGGCCCTGACCGTGGGCGTCACCAACACCGTGGGCAGCTCCATCTCCCGAGAGACCGACTGCGGTGTGCACATCAATGCGGGGCGGAGATTGGCGTGGCCAGCACCAAGGCTTATACCAGTCAGTTCATCTCCCTGGTGATGTTTGGTTTGATGATGTCTGAAGACCGAATTTCACTGCAAAACAGAAGGCGAGAGATCATCCATGGTTTACAGTCTTTACCTGGGCTGATCAAGGAAGTGCTGTTGCTGGACGAAAAGATTCATGACCTGGCCCTGGAGCTCTACACCCAGAGATCGCTCCTGGTCATGGGACGCGGCTATAACTACGCCACATGCCTGGAAGGAGCCCTGAAAATTAAAGAGATAACCTATATGCACTCAGAAGGCATCCTGGCGGGGGAGCTGAAGCACGGACCCTTGGCACTGATCGACAAGCAGATGCCCGTCATCATGGTCATCATGAAGGACCCTTGCTTTGCCAAATGCCAGAATGCCCTGCAGCAGGTCACGGCCCGCCAGGGTCGCCCGATTATACTGTGCTCCCGGGATGACACCGAGAGTTCTAAGTTTGCATACAAGACTATCGAGCTGCCCCACACGGTGGACTGCCTCCAGGGCATCCTGAGCGTGATTCCGCTGCAGCTCCTGTCCTTCCACCTGGCTGTTCTCCGAGGATATGACGTCGACTTCCCCAGAAACCTGGCCAAGTCTGTAACGGTGGAATAGAGAACAAGAGCCCGAGGAGGCCTGTCCCACTGCCGCCAAGTGGGGAGAACAGCAGGCGTTCTGTGTGTTCCGAGTAGATCCCAGTAGAACTTGACAAGCTTTCACGTGCCTTGTACCCAAGTGCTTTGCTCACAGCAGATACTGTTTCTCTGTGTCCTGAAGTCGCCAGAGGAGAAGGGAATCATTGTTTACACATGGGGATCAGAGCGGACTTTTCCACTACTGTGCAATAGAGACACAGCTCTCTTCAGAGTAACTGTGAACCTTTTTTAACCAACACTAGTTAGTTTTGAGAGACAAAATATTTATAATGATGATTGTATAGCTTTTAAGTTATTTTTCTAGTATGTGGCTTTCTGTAGCCGACGTAATGCCCAGACCATGCACCCCAGCCTCCTGGCAGAGGGCAGTCATCTCAGATTTGAGCACAAGGCATTGCCCCCTCCCCCAAAATCTCAATGTCCTTCGACAGATTCTTCTCCTATAAATCCCTCTGACTCTCCAACTTCTGTTAAATCTGCTTATGGTTCTTTTTAAGCCCAGGCAGCATTTTTGGTCCCTGCTCCTATCTATAGTAAAACAGCTTGAGATATCCCGTGCAAGACACTAGTTTTCAAGTGGGCTTTCTTGCCCTCCGTTTAAAAGCGTGCACAATCAAAATACTATGCAATTTTAAGACAATAAAGACAGTACAATTCTTTTCTGGCTTGTGCATTTGGAGTTTTGTTACTCTCATTCTTTTCGTTTACTTGGATTGTGTGAGGGCTCCGGAAAATAGGAACTCAGCATTGTCTGGTGGGAGTGAGCCCCCTTCCTTCCTTCCCTCCTTCCTTCCTTCCTTCCTTC